TATATATATGTTCCTTTGTGGAACATATTATTTTACAAGTAGTCTTTATTTCTCCAGAGGAAATTTGTACTTGGATCCATTTCCTATGATTCCAACTTGCCCCATATTTAGTGGTTTTATTTCTTATGTTATTTCAAGTTTTTAAAAAATGTTTCTCTTTTTTCACAATTATTATTCTCTCAAAGATATTCTCTTTTTCTTTTAGTGTATTCTCTTTCTCTTTTACTATATTCCCTTTATCATCTTTGACACCTAGTACTTATCTCAGTATATCTCAGTTACAAGTGAATATTATTAAACTCATGATTTGTATTTTGGCCCATCTTGATGAACACTGTCCTTATATCTCTAGTTCTCAAACAATTTCTTCTAGATTTCAATTGTTTCATTAAGTACATGACTAGAGGATGACCCTCAAGTGCAGTAGGCATTTGTTATTTTGGTCACCAGTGCTCTTCTGCTCTCCCCCTTTCAGAAACTGTATGCCCTGTTCCTTTGGAGAAAAAGGGTTTTTTTTTTTTTTGGTCATACAAACTTCATGGCAGCATGAATTTAGAATGTAGGATCTTTGCTTCGGCCTCTCTTTAGCATTTTGGTCACCTATATGGAGCTATAGCAATAAGGTTCTCTCTTCTGGATGGCTGAATATTGATATAAGACACAAAGACATATCGGTTCAAACCGTTGGGGTACCAGCATTATGAAAGAGAAGGCCAATAGTTCCTTATTACTACAGCTGTCATTTTTCTGGTAGTCTTGTTATTTTTATTTTACTTAAAATAATCTGAATAAAATAAAGAATTTTTGATCAGAATAGACTGAAATATTTTACTTTAAGAACTTTCCAACCACCCTTAAGTTTAACACGAGTCACTTCAGCATGTAACAATACTGTATGTTATTGCAGGATCAGAGCAAACGCTCAAGTCATTTCGTCTACCTCATTTCTTCCTCACAGTTATAAAATCTACAGACACTTGTGAATTACTTCCTGCTTCTCATCATCACCCAGGCATCTCATTCACATGCTATTTACACCTTTGTCCAGATCATTATTTGATTTGACAATCATACTTTCTACCAAGCACAGTTCTCAAAGTTAATATCAGTTTTGCCCGCAATGGCACACACCATTGGTGTCTCTACAAGGTTAGGAAGTTGATGAGAAAACCCACAGGGTGCATTTTTTGTCTCAGATGCTGGTGTGCATTGTATACTTAGGAAAGGCAAATGAATGAATTTGCTTGCTTTTAGATGAAATGACTGCCCGTATAGTCAGGGCATATCAGATTTTTTTTTCTAGCTTATAATTAATTATATTTAATTCCATTCATCTCCTTTGGGGTAAAAGAAGGAAAAAGATCTTTTGTTGTCTTTGGAGTATGTAATAACTCATTTGTCTGGTACTAATTTTGCTACGAAACTGTGTTTATTGGCACCCAGATCAGCAATCAGAGAAGTGTTAATAAGGTATAGTAAGAAAACTAAAAGAAAGGGTATTAAAATGAGACTGTATAGAGATCTTCTCACAAGTAGAAGTTAGAAATCTAATAATAAGGCAGTAGTCTGAAAATAAAAGTAGAATAGAAAAAAAACAAGAGATGAATTTGAACAGAAACAGGAAATTCTACTGACACAGAGAAGAACTTAATTGGCATTAATTTTTAAAACTTGAAATGTATAATATAGTTTACCCACAAATATGAAATAAATGAACCCAACTAAAAGTAGGTTTTCTTGGAGCTGCAGAGAAAGCTTAGTAGTTAAGAGCATATTGCTCCTGCAGAGGATACAGGCTTAGTTCCTAGTTCCCATGTCAGGTGGTTCACAACCTCCCATAACTCCAGCTACAGGGCTCCAATGTCCTTTCCAGGCTTTCCCAGGCACCTCTACTCAGATGCACATACACACACACAGACACACATATACATATAATTACAAATAAAATAAAATCTTTCTTTTAAAAATGTATTCTTCAGATGGTGGATTTTGGTGAACTGTAATATCAGATGCCCTTTGCCCCTGTTAAGGTTATAAACTGTACATTTATGATCAGTGCAAATGTGACTGCCAAAATTTACCGTGACTTGCATTGACCTTGATCTGACACATTGCACAAGGGTTTTCTGTTGAGTTATCCTGGTTATCCTAGTTATCCTAGCTCCAAAGTACAATTGAGACCATCTATTCCAGCTGTCCTATTTAGGGGAAAATATCCAGGAGACCAAAGTTGTAAAGTTTTATTTTGTCTCCAATTTTTCTCAAAATACCAAACACCTATCAAGACTATTGTTCAAAGAGAGTTGTTTTAGATAAGAGTTTAATAGCTGGATTTTTACTTAAAGTCATTGATAAGAAAATGCAGGTTCACTTCTCATGAGTTAATATTCTAAAGAAATCATTTTTTTAAAAATCACATATTAATCATGCAACCAGATTATTAATCCACCAGAAACTCACTTTCTTCTTCTCTGGAAGATGGAGACTATTGTGCACTTTTAAAATACATTGAACTCTGTGAACTTTAATGGATGCACTATTTCATGCAGGGAAAGGTATAATTTTGCAGCCATAATAGCTATGTTTCAACTTCCACAGAACAGTCACACTGCTGCCCATGCACAGCTCAGGCCTAGAGACCAATTTCTCCACATACCGGCTTCATAGGTGGTGGCGTGTGCGGTCATGCTCCACGTGCTTGACCTTCTGTTTTTTGTCACCATGACTGAGAACTCATACATTGTGTTTGGTTTCAGGCCTGTTGCTGTGTAGCTGAGGGATGTTGTGTCTTCTGACTATACAAAAAAAAAATAATCAGAGAGATAAAAATTATGAGATCTTACCAGCTCATCATATCAAGAAATGTAGAGGACCTACAAAAATAACAATTCAGCAAAGACAAAAACAAACAAACAAAAACCAACTCTGTTTCAAAAAAGAAGAGTTAAAACACATCAGTGACTCTGTGTCAACCTGTGTCTTTACACTGGCCACTCATACATTTAAGATATGATTGATAAAATCAGCTATTGTATTGTTCAAAGGAACATCAGCTGGATGATCTTCCTGAACCTGACCATAAACCCTGAAAGATGACAAAGTCTATGTCTCTCAACTCTGTTCAGGAGGTTGTCTACTCAGACCTAAATTAAATTTGTTTCTTCATAATCAAAACCTGGATTTTGGGGGGTTAGTGTAATATGTTCCATGTTGATTACCATTGTTATTTTCTATTATTACTATTTATAATGAAAATGGAACAAAAGCCTTTCTGTGTCATGTGGTTATCATGCTTTGTGCAAGCTTCACATGTAAAGAGACATTTAAATATGGGAACAGCAGCAACAGAAGGGAAGGAACAATTTGATAAATCTTAAAGGATGACATTGGTGTGCAGATTGCTGTGTTAATTAAGACTTACAAATCCATTCTTTGCCTTATAAGTCAGTCAAAATTATTATAGTTGAAAAAAAGTAAATTATGTATTTCTTGCTTACTCAATCAAAATGATAATGAAGAAAAACCATGTTTAGCTTCACAGGTTAGAGCATATTTTCCACATCATCTGGCACATTTAAAACTATTTACGCCTCTTATAAATATCTGCCTGAGCTTGATGTTTAGTATTTGGTCTTCTTCCAAATTAAATACTTCCTTTTGCTTCAGTACTTAAAATCTCAGTCTGGAAAATCAAAGCTTATCTTCATCTCCTACTCTTACTATTGAAATATGAAAAGTATTTTTATACTACTTTTAATCCATCTTAGGTTAGACTATAGTTATGAAAATCCTACAATTTGTAACAACACCATATATTTAACTATGCTAATAACAGTCTGATGATATGCCCATCCATTCTCTTAAACTGATGATCTCAGAAATATTTATCAGAAGCTCTTCTTGAAAATAGGTATAAAATATCTCCCAAATAAATGTAAAAATAGTTTTTTTAGTGAAAAGATGGATTTCCATTAAATAAAGCCAAGAGTGGGCAGGTAGTAAGTGACATGTTGATGCATTTTCCAGCATTGCATTCCTTCACTATCATTTCTAGCTCTTCCAAGTCTTAGAGGTAGAAATAGAATTGGGAAACAGACAATCAGGCATATTCTGATAGGAGAGAGGATCATGTATTGATTAAAAACTAGTCTCTTTCAGCCCCTCTGGCATTTAGGAAATAAGGAATAAATATAGTCATTATTTACATTTTAGAGTGAAAAGTTTGCATCCCATAAACTACCATGAACTTACTGAGTTTCCTCTGAAAATTTGTAGAAGGATACTGTTTATATGAAATTATTAAGAGGAGAAATATTTCAGAAAATTATGGCCAGTTATTTTACTGAACATAGAAATCTAGGCAGCAATTTTGATCTTCAGTTTCCTTGTCTGTAAATTGCAGATAATGTGACACTTTATAGCACTGTTTACAGTGTGAAATGTGTGAAGTAAAATACAGTGGCTGACCCAGAGAACATGTTGAACAGTATCTGTTCATACTATCTGTTATAGCATACATTTCCTCATGTCATTTATAATATTAAGTGCATTAAATTCCACATTGAGTTGCATCTTGAGGAAGGAGAAAGAGTTTTGCACAACTGTCTGTATTTTGTTACATTCCTAATGTAACTGCTGAGCACTAGGGTGCTCTCAATGAATAGATTTTGAGTTGAAATTCATGTTAGACAGTATGAGATTGAACACTTGTAAAAAGAAATGAAAGGAGGTTCATATATTTTAAAGGAGAATAAATACACAGTTTTGGACAATCAAATATTAGTGTCAGAATTATGGTTCGATTTGGGACTAAATGATGTGTGATCACTCCCATGCAGAGAACCCTGCATGATGCCATCCACTCATCTCAATTTTAGCTTTGCTTCATTTGAAAAATTAGTAAAGCTGTACCCTCTACCAGTATCTTTATATGGAAGAATATACATAATGAACTATGAATAAAGTTATTTTTTACAGTAAGTGTGAATATTTCCCATTATATAGACTAGAAAAATAAGATTTGATAAGTGACAGGACAAGACATAGCAAAGTCAACTTGAATCCCTAGTGTTTGACTCCAATTATTATTTTTGTCTTTTCTTGAATATACCTTGCCTACCTTATTAGGCTATAATGGAAAGAGAGATGCAGTATTAATACGACCATGATTTGAAAAGCACAAAGTACAAGCCAGAGCATCTACTACCAATAATTGTAAAATTTATCACATATCTTTCTGATAGGCCGGTTATCTTCTTTCTTTGTCCTTGCTACTCAGTTTACCTAACACTTTCCTAAAGACAACCTCATCTCACTATAAGGAAGTAGAATAATGTGTGTGTGTGTGTGTGTGTGTGTGTGTGTGTGTGTGTAGAGGGCTGGTATATGCTGGTAACTGAAAGCCTTCCATGAGGTAAGATGATGGGTGAGGGCTCCATTTAAAACCCTTTTGGATTGAGTCTCACCTTGCAGCAGTTCTTTCTAAGACTGAGTAATTCTATTCTTTGTGAGATTGAGTAATTCCATGTCTGCTTTACTAAACATTCAACTGAAATCATTTGCCTCAAGAAATCTTAGAGTTCAAATTGTTCTACAGGAAATAAGCACTGTGTTTTATACCATTTCACATTTTGGCAAAATCCCTCAGGCCATTCTTTGAAATAAATGTATCTCCAAAGTAGAGCAATGATGAGCATAAAAAATTCTAAAGTGGAAAAAGCAGTGTAGTAAAAGTAAACTTAAAACTGAGCACTCTATACATAGATATGCTTTTAATACTCTCATACATTTTCTTGGTTGTCTTTTCTGATAATGTTATCTTTATTTATGGTTCTGCTAAGTCTGAAATCTAATACTTTAAGGAGATAGATAGGGTACTTAGAACTTATCAATGAGACTGTATGGACTTGCCTGGGGAGATTTTCCAAATGCCTGGTCTAGCAGGGCAGTAGTACCAAAGAAAATTGTTTTTTAAATTGTATCAACTGAAATTTGATTTACGATGAGCCATGAATTTTGTGCCACTTAAAAAATGGAAGAGTAAAGCAGACCCAGAATGGCTTCACAAAACAGAAGTGGATCTACAGAATGGTGAGGTTTTGCTCTATCTCAAGTTTTGGAGTCAGAAATTCCCAAGAGAGACATTCATCCTCCAAGGTAGGAATGTCTTGAGGTTAGATGTCGGAGGACAGTAGTTCAATGGGAATGATGAATCTAAATTCTCCTTGGGTAGCTACTGCAGGAGAATGGCAAGAATGGAAATGATAGTGAGCATAAGGAAACCAAAGTGCTAGGGTTGAGCTTTGATTCCCTGGTTGCTAGGTGACATTTATATTTTTCTTCTTCTTACTAGTAATTTATTTTGAGATATGGTCTCACACCACAGTCCACTTAATCTCAAACTCCCAGCAATCCCCCTGCTTCAGTGGGGATTATGAGCAAGTGGGACTTTGCCTGCCTGGTTATGTTCTTATCTTTCTTTCTTTTTTGTTCCCTGTTACCTTGGGAAGAATTAACTTTTAGATGTGGTTTCACATATTATCTCACTTGAGTCATTTATAGACTCTTTCAGCTATACATCTATTGAGATGAGTGTATAATGTGTTCCAAGTTATAAATGTGCTAAGTAAGCAGAACTAAAGCTTAAAAATACTTTAAAGACTTTTTATTTGTGTGTGTGTGTGTGTGTGTGTGTGTGTGTGTGTCCCAATGTGAGGGAATGCCACATTAGTGCAGGTACCTAGGGAGGCCTGGAAATAGAGTTACAGACAGCTGTAAGTTGCATGATATGAGTTCAGGGAAGCAAACTTGGGTCTTTCGGAAGAGCAGGAAGTGCTCTTAATTGCTGAGCCAACTCTCCAGCCCCTAAAAAGTTTATTTCAAAATAAATTACCTCTATGATCCAGAACTGTTATTTATAGATAGCAGGTGCTTAATAATCACTTGATGATCTTTCTGCTTTTGTTTACACTGTCTACTGCTTATATGTGCTAACATGGCAGTGGGTTTAGGATGCATCACACTTGTCTCTGTAAGTAACTCTGTAGAACCTCTGAACTTGGCTGGTAGAAACATAAGGTGGCAATGACAGTGTTCCAAATGCAACCCTGAGGATCCCTGGGATGAGTGTGAAATGCTTTGGTGATGAGGACAAGAACAATTGGCTGGTGAAATTCCTACTCATTTATGGGGAGGGTGTTTTCAAAGCTAAATAAGGGAGTCACTGTTAATGGCGTATAATAAATTCTTAGGATGTTATGAAAATATCTTCATATCATCTATTCCCAGTTATACTCCCTCTGAATGGATGCCTATGATATTAATGGGTATCAACCTAGATTCTGAATGAAAAGAAATATCCCAAAATCTATCCAGAAAATTTTCTTGGAGCCCTGTTATTTTCTGTACAGATTCAAAGGATTAGTACAAACTTACCATCTGGTGGAATTCAATCATCATTTTGCAGCTCTTGATAACTTTTCCTTCCTTGCCTTTGAATGATTTCAAAAGACCTAATTATTCTGTACTAATTTTAGGTATTGAATTATTAAAATGCTTTGTTGTTCCTTGTAAAGTCACTGCAGCAAAATGGCTTATGACAGTCCAGGAAGCATCGAAAACAATACATCAATCATGACAGTTCATTTTAAATTTTGTGCAATCAATTAAACCTTCACCTTGTACTTGGCACTTGCAGAAAAGCTGGTCCTCCACCGGACAGTGTAAAGTCGCACATCGGATGTTTTTTGGTTCTTCGGGACAGAGTTGTCTGCCCAGCTGACCCTCACAGCCTCATGAGTAAGAGCCACAGCCTGCACACCTACTGGTGGGAACATGGGGGTGGAGACATCTGGGACGGAGGTGGGGAAATCATCAAGCAAAGGATAATAATCAACTGGGTCAGTGGGATCTGGGTTCAAAACCCGCCAAATGAAACAAACAAATAAATGCATAAAGAAAGAATCAAAATAAATATCAGTGGTAACACATCACAATGAGTTAAATGCATGGCAGTAATGATGAAAGGGAACATGAGAAGAACAGAAAAAAATGTAATTAATTCAATTAGAAAACACATTAGGAACAGTATTGCTAGTTACAAAACAGCAATATACTAAATTTCTTGTTTTTCAGTCCAGTTTGGTCCTATAGTTTAAAAGTTCATTGTGTTGGAATGCTACACATTGCTTCTCACAAAGCCTGTGTACTATTTATCAGGTTTCTGATTTTACTGATGACTTGAAATTAAATGAAATAAGGTGTCTGGTTATTCCTTCCTGCAATGGAAGTAACTGTTATAGTGTGCCTGGGATTTCTTTTTCTAGCTCTAATTCTAATGGGTGCCTGTAATGATTTCACTATTATCTAGATTTATCTGTATAAATATTTGTAGTCAACCAAACTATAAAGAAAACACCATTGTGTATATATCAGTCTGAATATGGATATACAAAACCAGTGACCAGATAGGCATGGTAATGCAGGCCAATTTATATCTGATGTATTATAATTTGATTTCAGGTAGCAATGAGTACTGCAGATTAGTTTAGATTGTGATCTTAAAGTGTGTGTTAATTTAACCCACATTCTCATACAGGAATTAGCTAGTGTTTACTATTGTCAGGAAATCCTATCATACATTCCTAGTTATAAAATTTCAAGGTCAGGGAAAAGAATTTATATCAGTGGATAGGAAGACAAATTAACAACATCTGAATGATGAGATCCCACAGAGGTGTGCATAGCGTTTTACCCACAGCATGATGGGATTCTGAAGAATGATGTGTAATTTTACAAATTTTTCCAAAAAGGAAAAAAAAAAAACAAAAAAACTCTACAACCCCTGAATACTTATTTTTATGCTGGAGAGATCACAGTTTGAGAAGCTTCTATTGCACAAATCATCCAATTTAGAGCAGTTCAAATTTATAATTAACAGATACACATTAAAAACTGACTTTTAGGTCAAGGCCAGTCTGGTCTCCATAGTGAGTTCCAGGACATCTGGGGCTGCAGGGAGACCCTGTCTCAAAACGACCGAAAAAGAAATTGAAAAAAAAGAAAAAAAAACAAAACAACAACAATAAAAAGCCCCCAAACCCTGACTTTTATGTTATATAATGAAGATTCTTATTAACAAGAAATTGAGATATGGCAGCACAGTTCTCAGACTGGACATTTGCTGTTGTTTAAGGAAATGAGACCATAAGAAAATGAGGCGTTTTGGCAGTAGTGTATGTAGTTTGTTTTTTTAAGCAGTCAAGTTCAAAGCTGAGTGGTTGCTGGCTGATTACTGCACGCTGTCCCCTGAATTGAGAATTTCTATCCCCTATTCATCATTCTGTTTTCCAATGAATTATTTAGTATGTTACTAGTCTGTGGTTTTGGAAGAAAATATAAAATTGAAAACAAGCCAAAACAAAGGGGGAGAGAAAGAGTGTGTGTGTGTGTGTGTGTGTG